ATTTAAAATTTTTATAATATATTTTTTGAAATTGTTAGATGTAATGAATGGTATTTATTTTACCTGGTACTTGATTTGGATTTTTATTTTATATCTAAATAATGTGGCATTATTACAATTAATAAAATTGAAACCAAACCCAAGCTTTGAAAGATTGCTTAAGATACTATAAAATTATTTTACGTGGATTAAACTAAAAATTAATAATTAAAAGCTGAATGCTTTCTGTGACCTGACTCTAACCTGAATGGTACAAAACACTCGAAACGTCAGGAGTTTAGAAAAAGTTAAACTAAGCGTGATAAAATGCGTAAACTTAGGTTCATTAATTGCAAAACTAGCTGGCTCGACTGACTGTTCTGCCCATTCTATAATATTATAGTAAGTGATGCGATAAATTTCACTCCGATTTTTTGCAGAGTAAATATAAAATGTATTAATAACTCGACCATAGCGCTTATTGGGTTTATATTTTGTGGTAATTTTTTTCGCTTTCAACCATCTTGTGAATACGATACATTTTGGTTCATAAATATAGAATTTGTAAACAGCGCCACCTATCGGATTACAACATAAGAGAAAAAATATTGTGTATATAATTCCTTCAATTCTAAAAAATAAATATATTACATAAACAAGTATTATTGAACGAATGAAGACAATTCGTTAACATTTCTTTGTTCTTATATTATACAAGATCAAGGCGATCGTATGTTTTGCTTAGTACCAAAACATGAGAGGCATACGAAAAACCATAATGGTTCTCATTTCCTGTCCTGGAATATGTGGAATTGGCGGTTAATTTTTATTGACCGGCGTGTTAATTTTTATTGACGAATGAATGTAATGCTATCTTAGAGTTTCACGCATCTACATTATTTCTTCCTATTTGAGAATAGACGTAATATCTGGATCACAGCGTTAACTTATAGCTGGACTGTGTATTCGTTTGTCGTCTTTTATAAAAAATATAGACAGTTCAATAATTCAAGTGTGTACTCATAAATATAATACTAGTGTCATCTGTGGACGAAATACGACCAATATGTATTCGAGAAATAAAATCATTTGCGAATGTTCACTGTGCTTAACCTGCACAGTGAACGTTTGCAAATTTAAAAGAGAATTTTTCGAATTACAAAATTTTTACGTATTACATAATATTTTCTATCCAGTCCTACCAAGTTCTCTCTGTTAAATGTACGTAGCAACAATAGATTGTGAAAAAACAAAATTGATTAAATGCTTTAACATTGATGTTTTCAAGCACATAACCGTACTAAACTAAGTACATTAGTACAAAAGAAATTATTCATGTTGATTTATAGCTATGAACTCTAACTTCTTCTTCTGATTTATAATACAATGTAATTACAGGTTCATGTATAGTATGATCAAGACTTAAATTTTTCCATAGTGAGGTCAGATTTTAAACTCGATATTGTCTCTGAATACTGGTCCAAGAGTAAGTTCTGTACTACACTCAATTTCTGAATGTACGAATACATTCAACTTATTTGAACTGAAGTTTGCCAAAAGAAATTCTAATTTCTTATCTCGCATGAAATAAAGAAAGTTTAATTAATTTCATTTCACTGAATTACACAAATTACACAGTGAAATATTGTAATTTTAAAGAGTTTATTTTTAAAAATTTTGATATAGTTAAAAGATTTAAAGGAAAATGTTACTTACCATGGTGATGTGTGTTAATCTATAATATATATTTTTAGCTTGCGTAACTAATAAATACAAAAATATTTTATTATTTGGAGCACGCGATAGGCGACTGTCTCGTTTTCGGCTATTATTCGTCCACTTTAATTTTCAAAGCGTGTTATGATAGCACGAAACCCATTTTCCAGCATCAGTGAAATTCTAAATTGAAACTAAGGACAGATTTAGTTACTTTAATATGCATAATAGTCGTATAAAATCTGGTCGTTTTCTTATTCAACTAAACAAGTTTACTTTTCGACTTTGAATTCTGTTCATCTTTTAATAAAATTTTTTGAAGTTTTAGTTAACTTGTTACTTAGTAAATAAAATCAAACTATCATTTTCATTGCGTAAGTCTGCCCTTCGTGTTATTTTATAATCAGGAATGTTTTAAATAATAAATGAATAAATAGACAACATACTTACCGTAATATTTAATAAAGTCAGTGACCAGTAATAAACATTGTTATTGTTGACCAAATTTCGATCATGGCGGCCAACCTCAACTGTGACTAGCCATAGGTGCAGAACAGATATCTCCTCTACGATAAATTACATCATAGAGGAGATATTTGCCGTAGGTGCCACGCTGGCAGGTTGAATATCGTAGTTTATTATCATTATCATTGAGTTATTATCAGGAAAATGCTATAAAAGGTTACAATTTTGTAAAAAAATTATTTTCAAGAAAACTAGTCGGTCTATTTTTTATTTGTATTATTAAAATGCATTTGTTTCAGGTGACACCTCCAAAAGCTGCGATCTATGAGGCAAAATCTTTAAGGAAGTCATCACCACTCACAAGCAGATTGGATTTAATTCGCGGCATCAGCAGAATATTAACCTTGTTGGTCCTTGCCGTCTCTGCTATATTTGAATTTTATCCAGTTGTTCGACAAACTTATGATACAATTATAGATATAATGTATAACACTTAATCATATAAATTGTATGGAATGACAAACTCTTACGTATTTTATTTTATTACACAAGCGGTGTTGTAGCAAGGCCAACGGGAGCTATTGCCTCAGGCCCATTTATCGAATATTAATAATATATATCGAATATTAATAATATTATAGAATATTATTTATATTATAAACGATTTTCAGATGGATCTAAAACATTTATTTATGCACTACACAGTACATACGAGCAGCAAATTATGGGATTCGAATCCGGTTTTAAGTGATGGAATACGTAGGGTGAAGTGTAAAGCGTAGACAACAAAAGAACAAATATTATTATCTATTATTGTTAGAAATATTTCCAGTGGCGCACCATAACTCACCAAAATCTTCGTTCATAAACCACTTATTCGATTAAGGATGTGGCATGGGATGGGGTACAGGATAATGAAAGATATATATATATATATATATATATATATATATATATATATATAAATATATATATAAATATACCATAGACACTCTTTTTCCTCACGGATGACAACGCATTCATGCATTCTGATACGTAATCGAGGATAGATGTAGATGTCTATGGGCCACAGCAAACACTTACCATCAGGTGGACTGTGTGCTCGTTTGTCACCCTATCCTATAAAAAAATCATTAAGGCTGCGCGGTGGATAGTTCCTTGTCATAAAACCCTCGCAGAAGTGTGAAAAGGCCATATACGCCCATATACGTTCCCCCTAATAGTAGGACGTATATGGGGTGTAACTAACGTTAAGCCTACTCACTGTCGTTTTTCATGGTATATCATTCAAGACCTTGGCGGTTCATACAGCAGGATGGACCGTGACAGCTTCCAAGCAGTAAAAAAATATATATATATATATATATATATATATATATATATATTGTCGTTATAATCTAAAATATCCGCCCTACGATGCAATCTATGTTCAGCGAATATAGGAAATTTATCGTTAGAATAAATATGGTCTAGCAAACAGTTGTGTCAAAAATAAGCGTGTCAGACTCGAATTTTCATTTTTTAAGCATCAAACACTCAAAAATAATACACTTACGTTTTATATATCAATTTTGTAAAAACATAAAATAAAAACTTAATTGATTAAAATAAAAATTGAGCAAGTTACGAACGATCAGACCCCGCCGGTTTATTATTTACCTAATACCAAGCTAATAAAAAGTATACTTTTCTACTTATTCCGGATGACAACCGTTTTCTACGGTCACCGCCTGGACTATACAGCCAGCAGTGAAGGACCACGTCTTAGCTACCTTTGTTGTTAATGCTACTCAGTCGAATATTATATTTTACAATGTTATTAAAATAGCGCTACCATTAAATATCGATTTTCAGTGGAACCAAATATTCTATAAACAAAAGATTCGTAGTTTTTAAAAAATTTATCATCATTCACCGGTATTCCTTAAAGAATCATGATCATCAATATTAGTGAATTAAAATAATTTTGATGATACATAAAATGTTTTTACAGAAATTGATACCGGTATTGGCGTTGTGTGTGGTTTTATGTTATGGAACTCCAAATATAAATGTGAGTATATTTTTATAGTGCTAATATGTAGAAATACTAATTCGTATCAATGTATTTTAATTATATTCTCTTGTCAATTACTTTTTTTACCATTTATTCGCTATACTTTTGAACTTTCAACACATGCGTTAAATTATTATTACTGTTCTTATCTTTCTTGTCAGAATATCCCAAAATTCTCATAATATTTTAACTTCATTCACATTGGCTGCCTCTTATCTCAAGAGTACCTCGCAGCTAAACTAAGCAATAGTGAGAATATGAGATTCTGAGAGATGGCTATATATTTGTACCATTTGAGCATTTGCTTCCACGGACCGGATAGCAGAGACTATCCGGTCCGTGTAATCCACGTGCGATTGGTGATTGGTGAGATTACTAAAGGAACTGTATCTGCGACTGGTCATCGCTATTGGTGATAATAGGGCTGATTCTTTTCTCGCTCAAAGGATAAGTATATTTATTCAGCCAGAAAAAACGCTGCCAGCGTTCTTTCCTTGATACCGCAGAGATTAGGACTGAATGATAATTTAAGTTTTTAGTTTCAGTAATTTTTGTAGTTTTTTTTTAATATAATATACATTTCTATGTTATATAAATAAATATCAAATTAAAAGCTTTTCAAGCCACTATTTATATAAAAAATATATCTGTATTTTAGGTTAGTACAAAACTTCGAGTAAAGAGAGCACACAAAGATGTTGAGCAATCAAATTTAGAAATTGCAAGTGCCAAAGAAAATTTTGAAAATATATTACCAACTTTAAAAAATAAATCTAGTTCAAAAATGGGAAATTCCGAGCCAGATGCATTAAATCTATGTCTAGATGATGTCACTAGACCTTTATCTAAAATTGTTCCACTATTATCCATAGTTAAAAATACACAATCACCTGTCGAACTTTTCCATAAAAATGATCAACACAAGCAATCAAATCATGAGATAGACTCGAGTGACGTTTCTGAGGTCAATGACAATTCTATTTCAAAAAACTTTAGAGAATGTAAGCCAAAATATAGAAAGTTGCATGAAAATATAGATTGTGAAAATATGAACAAAGAGTACAAAAATCAAATAAATAAATCACAACAAAATTTAAAATCCAATAATAAGAACTCACGTGATATCGTACTTGTAAATAAAATGAATAATCATCATGAAAACGAAAATTTGGAAGACAGAAATTGTATAAATGACTCTATTCATAGCATAATAGAAATATTAGAGAAATCGTTAAGGAATTCAAGCCCTAAAAAAGAAACCAAACTTCAAGAAGCATTAAAATTACAGGATGATATTGAGGAAATTCCCAATGCTCACAGTGATATTATGCCAGAAAATAATTGCATAAATCAAAATTATAATGAAATGAACACTACCTATAATGATACTTATAGACCTGATGAGAGAGTAATTCAAATTTTACAGGAACAAAATAAATTTTTGAAATCTATCTTGTTTAAAACATTTAGTTATGGTAATGATACAATTGATGGACGAAATGAAAATAAACCAATAAGAATAAATTTAACATTGAATATAAATAATTTGGGAGCGAATGAAGACGGTAAAAATTAATAACTAATGATATTGGTAATACTATATAAAATTTCATTTTTTGAAATGAAAAACTAAAGTGACAAAGGAACTTACATTCACATGATGGTTAGTGGCGACTGAGATAGATTGTGTAACAGTATGTACTCTATACCCTACAGTCGTAACATAGAAGTGCTATTATTTGCCGGCAAAAGTAGGTAAGTGGGTATTACCTACCCAGATGGACTTCTAGGCAGAAAAGAAGTCCCACCACACATTAAAATTCATTACAGCCTATGAAAGTATAGTGTTGAACACAAGGCAGACTGCCTTTTGGGGAAATTGCCACGTTTGCTAACGTTTTGTAATTATTTTGAGTTGTTGTCACGAAGATACTGGTTCTCATTTTGTTTACATTTCTTTTTGTCGCTCTTACGGTAGTAGATGATTCTTTTAACGCTGCCACTGTACGACTCAACATTAAATACTAATTTTTAACAGCAATACTCTTATTAGAATACAATTAAGCTAAATCTTTAGGACAAAGTTATATTTTTTAATTCTACCACTATTTCTGTCCATTATATACACATACAGTAAATAGCTTACATCTTTATTAGGTGTACAGTTAGAATAGTTTCAATGTTTTTTTGTGATTGTTTATTATTGCAATAATCTGTTTTTTTTCAGATTGTAAATTGAATTCAGTTAAAAGGAAAAGCAGTTTGTATACAAATGTATACTCTAAGAAAAGTAATAGGGACTTGGAAAAGGATGCAAAAAATAACAAGTGTACCACTACTGCTAACCGAAATAATCTTGATTTAAGTCATAATGAGTGTTTTCCTAGTCAAGTTAGGGGTCACTATATAACCAAAGATAATTACATTCCTCATCCTTATTTTAATGATTCTAATAATAGATTACCTTTTAATCTTTTGAATTGTAAACACAAAGATAGCAATAGATTCTGGAGCTACAGCTATAATAACTATCGTTGGTTAAATACAATACCACAAGTAAACGCAAATATTAATTGGAGGAGATCAGATAATTTGAAATATACTTTTAAATTCATACCGTGTGATTATAAAAAACTTTGTATCCCGTTACCACTTAATTACAACACAGAACAAATTAAATCAGCACCTAATTGTTTGGAAAGGAAAATGGAGCCTTATGATATTTACAGAAATCAGTTATTACTTCAAAATTGTCCTTACTATTATATAAACTCTTAATAATGACATTTATTTCATCTAGTTTCTAAATAACATATCAATTCTTTAATAATTTATCATACAATAATATTAACTTTATATCCCACAATTTAATTGTATGATTCTCACCTTCTGGTGTAACGTAAGATCTTTAAAAAATACATCATTATGCTGTAAATTTTACGTGACAGCACTAATTTTAAATTTTAGTCTTACTGGAAGTAAGAGATTCCTGCATAAATTTTTTATTCAAACGAGAACTAGCTTTTTACATCCAAAGAGGAAATGTTCAATAAAATAATTTGCATAAACATTTTAAGATTTTAAAACTTTAGTGTCCTTCCTGTCTTGTTATTTAGCTTGTTTGTTTATTTTACCAACTTCTCTGGAAGGAAGGTAATGTTATAAGTGTATATTAGTTAATAAAGAAGTCTTTATAATTATGTTGTTTTATTTTTAAGTCTCACCAGGTTAAAAACTCATCTAATAATCGAAGCCATTGTTTTCTGGTACGACTACAACTTACAACCCAAGGAGATCTTTCCCAACAATTAGCTGTTTATTTTTGCTTTAATAACTCGGTTCTTTTATTAAAATGCTTTTAGCTTTGTTTATATTTATACAATTGAGATTTTTTTTTTATAATTAGCCTTATAAGATATCTGATTTCAGTACTGGACTGTCACAATCTCATGATGGAATTTTTTATTTATTTTGAGTAAACGATATTCATTCTACTGCCATATGATAACAATTACATGAATAATAGTAACATACATAAATTTAATGTATAATTTCATGTATATTCAATATGACCCGCGAGAGTCATGGTAGCTCAGATGGGTAACGCTCGCTGTAAATATAACAGAACGCGAGTAATCCGGGTTCGGTCCCCGCCGGCACCAATGAAATAATTAATTGCAATTTAAAGTGCTGATTTACCATGTACTCGGCGGTGAAGGAAAACATCGTAAGGAAATCTGCATGTCCGAAAAATAAGAAAAAGAAATTCGAAGGCGTGAAGTTCGCCAACACGCATTGGGGCAGCGCTGTGGACACTTCCTTGCCTTAAAACTCTCTCAGAAATGAGGGGAGGCCTGTGAGGCAGTGGGACGTATATAGGCTGTAACTTTACAATATAGCCTGTCTAGATATTGGTGAAAGTTGTGGCTATGGCGCTAATTTATTATCCTAATTCTAATTTTTTTTATAAGTGGTAGAGCCATGCTGCAGTTATATTAGTAGTATAGTTGTAGCACGAATGGGTCGGCTCGACCGGGGTAGGACCACGCTCTTACAGAATACCAGCGTAAAATAGGAGCTTAATGCTGCTGTGTTTCGTATGATGAGTGTAGAGAACCGGAGACCCTTTTACTGGAAACGACGCATTCCATCTTAGTCATCAGTCATCTTAGACATAAAATTTGTACTTAGATTGATGACGTTGAGAGAACTTTCCTGGATTCTGCATCATATACGTGTAAGGTTGTAACTGATAAGAACTAGTATTGATTCCTTTTTTTATTGAGTCGATGCTTATATAAGTTGATGCGACTCCCTGGCTGTTATTTTCCAGGCTTATTGTTGTAAACAAGTAAGAAAATGTTGTTGCCCATCTCTATTATTGACTATAAGCAAACAATAAATTGAAATGTTACAAGCTTTTTAATTTTAAACTTTACAAATTTTTTAACTAGTGTTTACAATATTTAAATGTATTATAAAAAATACGTGTGGCACTCGGTGACTGCCGCGGTAAAGCTATTGCATAGCATTTTTTATCAACTTATGCAATTATAATTATTTATTTATTTTATTTATGCAGTTAAGTCTTCGATATTAAATCAAGTTACACTTTTTGAGCGTGGTGACCGATAAGAAAACAATTTTTTTTCTCTTATTGAATAAATGAGAAGTTAATATTGTTTAAAATATTTTTAATATCTTACAATACATATTATTCAGGAATTTTTATCATTGAGTTAGCAGCTAGTGTACACGCATACGTCTAGTCGCACGCACACAAACACCGTGCCGAACTCTGCCGAGTGCCGAAGTCTGCCGAACTGAAACGACGTTAGACGATGCACGGCTTTCAACGCCACACCTCCGTGCCCGTCGGAGTGGGGAGCGTGAGGTTTTTTTCGTTACGGAATTTCTGGATTCGGTCCCCGCGCTCAAGGCCCGCGATAGAAGCTATGCAATAGCTTAAAAATGTATTATTATATCATTGTATGTTTTCTTACCGTGTTATGTTGGCGTAAAAATATTAACTACCCACACTTCCCCATATCGCCCCATCGCAGCAGAGGGAAACAAACCAAGAGGTTGGCAGCAGTGTTTTTCTAACAAATAACTCGTGTTGTTAAGCTGGCCAGGCGAGTTGACAACCGTAGTTTTTTTTATATTTGCGAGTTTTTATTAGGTAGATGTTGTTGCCCATAACTTTTCAGTTACTTTTTTAGTTAACCCGTCTATTGCAACGTGTAAGGTGTCGTTGAATAGATCTTTCAAAAATATTGGGGGCATGGAATACATTTTTTTGGGTCCGTTTGCGAAATATTTAGCTTTAAACTGGTATTTTTTATAAGAGTCATATGTTTCTGTTTCTGGAAATATGAAATGTATGCACGATAATGTAGTTAAAAAAAAACTATCACAGCTAAGTAAGCCTTAAAAGTTAACGAGTAATAGTCGATCAATTTATAAAATGCACTTGAATTAGTAAAATTTCGTTACAAATCTATAAAACATGACGTAAAACTAGCTGCATTGTAACTTTGTAATGTTTTTGTAAACTGTAATAAAGTAAAAACTTTATATTTTTCTTTACGGTGTAGGTAGAGAGGATCGATCGACAAGGAACAGACCTTATCACACCACTATCGTTTATTTGTTGGTTGGAAGTTATTGTAGGCCTCATTCACAGTATAAATGTATTCACATACATCCTCATACGGTTTCATTCGTATACTCTTGGTTTGCGCGGGTGACTCTCAGGATAGTTAAGGAGAGTGGTGGTTTACGGGAAGGTTCGTTATGGTCATGTATATCTTAGGGTTGTAATAGATGAATAGGAAACGATGACGTACTTGCCTGAAATTTGATTTAGATTATATTATTTCAAAATCGAACAGCTGCTATTATAAATAATTTTTGATACCACCCTTGTAATACCTTGTTGAAGGCCTATAAGTCTGTTTGGAACATAATTCCTTCAGTTACCGTCATTCTATTTGAGTACATTTTTAGTCTTTATAGCAGTCAAATCGCTAGCTCACTTAATATGCTAGTATCAAGAAGGCCCTTTTTAAATTTACGTATTATGATGGGTAACTACGGAAGTTTTTCCCATTTCCCTTTTCGCCTCTTACGAAGTCCCCGGTATAATAAGGGATACTCTCAAGTCTTAGCTCTTAAGAAATTTGATCTAATGTTCATCATACAATGGAGGTCGAACGGAATGAGTTTAGAGACGATATCAACATTTTTCGACGAAATAAACCCATTTACACACTGACACTTTTTTAAAAAACCAGACATGTGTGACGAGGACTCGCGCTCCGGGGTGGAGATCCCGTATAATTTGTTCCGTATAAATTATGTATGTAGATGGAGGCGGTGGCACACCTTTTTATCTAGAAGTGAAATCTGTGTAGTTTGGTATTTACTGTGTTTAAATATAAAGAGCCAGTATAATCACAGGCTGTGAGGCATACAATCTTAATCCTCCGAGATGAGAATGCCTTCGACTAGCCTTCTTTGTTTGAAGTTGGTTGCATTTACCATCAAATGGACTACCAGCTCCTTTCACAACAA